AATTAAAGACAAACAAGTCTCAATGAATTGCATACAGTAACAAGAATTATGTCTGTACAGTTACATCTTTTTTCTGTTATTACTCTTCTATGATATTCTGTGGCGTAAAAAAAAAACACTAATCAACTTATTATCTAAAAATATTCATTGCACACAAATCGAACATTTGGTGTAAAGATTCAAATACAGTATCTTTTTCAAAACTCGTAATAGTAGTTTTTCTTAGCATACAAGCCTCGAAGACATCTACTGTGATGAGTGTTTTATATTTACATGTTTCGATTAATTAACCATATTTTATATTCATGATCTCTTCAGTTCTATGACAAATTCAATCATGATTAAAATACCTTTTTTTTCTTTGGTTTAAGCCATTGTTGATTTTCATCGGTATATCCATTTGTTGGTTCTTCATCATTTGATTCACCATCTGATTGACGTTTTATTGTTGTTTTAAGTTCTTTAGTAGAAAAAAAACAAACAAATAAATTGAAATAGATAAAACAAAAAAGAGTTTGATTATAAATCAAATATACTTGTATTCTTTTTTATTGTCTGTTTTAATTGTTCTTTTTGAAGACGTTTACGTGCACTAATAACGAAAAAAAAAAGTAATCAAAATAAACTAATAAAAAAATAGAAATCAAACCGTTGTTTGCCACGACTCGATAATTTTTTCTTTTCAGTAGATTCTAATAAAAAAAAACCAAAAGAATAGTTTATTTAAAAGAAGAAAAACAATAAATGAATATTTCTTACCTGTTTGTGTTAATTCTTTTGGAAAAGTTGGTTCACCTTGTTTTTTTGCTTTACGGCCAGGACCACGAATATGTTTTGCTGTTTTTTCATCAGTTTTCTTTCGTCGTCCCATGATGAATCAAAAAGTTTTTCTAAGACAAAAAAAATCAAGTTTTAGTCGATTAATATATCGTAAACAAATAATAATATAATAAACTATTGCATCTTACAATGATTTGTCAGAATAAAATAACCAATCAGAAATAATCAAATGGCGTTAGTAATCGATAGAAGAAGAAAAAAAGAATTTCAACATTCTTGATTCATCGATATAGAATAATAAGAAAGAGAAAGAGAGAATACATGTAAAATAAATGCTAAATCAATCTATCCTTCTTTTATATGCATAGAGGAAATTCTTGCACATGACGATATTTAATCAAAAGAAACTTGTTTCAAGATATAAAAGATGCAGAATTATTTGGACTATTCACCTATGTAATAATGTATTGCGTACTTCGTATTACTTTTTAATAGAGAATAAAGTACACATTCATTTATGATAGGTGAATTGATATCTTATTTTGAAGGTTTTCTCTAAAGCTTGAATTGGAAAAGTATTTATGTTGATCTATCGGATGTGCCAAAATATTTGCAACTTTTCACTGTATTGAGCATAATACAGAAATGTTAGAAAGACGTTTTTTTGTTTGGCAATAGAGGTTTGTTCGTACAGCTTGTGTAGAATTATCGCTAGAACATCTTTTAAAAAAATAAAATCAAAATTTACTGATTTAGTTATACCGAGATATATGTGAAATAAAAGATGTAACAAACATTTTGACACACCTCGTATATAATTAGATTTAAAAAGGACGATCATTACGATGAAGACATTTACTACGAGAAATTATGCTAAGATTACAGACTTTATTATACAAAGAAAACAAACTCTTCTTTGAATTAGAAATTTTCAAATTTGTATTTTATATTTTTTTTACTACTTCTCATAAAATGTTTATAGTTTATTCTGAATAACACAGACGACTAATAGCTTGTTGAATCATGTGAATTATTCTTAAACTATTTATTGATTTTTATTCAAAATGACAAAGTAAAGATGAAGGAGTTATCTGTACTACGTCGCTTAAGATTGAAATACTTTGAATAATAACTTAGAAAATTAATATTTTACTATATGAAAGCTCATATTTTCTAGTACCAATTTTGACAATTCAGTATGAAATTGACATCATTCTCACTTTCATGCACCCTTTTAAAACTAAAGAGATCAATTGGTTTTTATCGAAAAATCACTGAGTGAAACACATAATGTGAAGTTTCCTAAAAGAACTATGCTATTCAAGATTCTACTTCTGAATGTTATTCAATATTTTTGGTAGCGGGTTATATATAGTATTGCAAAAAAAAACTCAAAGAGAATTTAGATTCAATTGATATTCTCATTACCTATCGAATTTTTAATACGCCTATTTCTAGAGAAGAAATTTTACATAAAGAAATTCAGAAGTTTTGAATGGAGTCTCTACGAAATATGAGATTTTCAAGATGCAGACTGTTTTTCATGGATAGTGTATACAGGAAAAATGATATATGTATCTAGAGGTGTAAGCCGATGAGCTGTCCGGCGGCGGCGCCATTAAAAAATTTTTTTTTTCAAAAGCTCGGCGGCGCAGATTTGAATTACTGGGGCTGCACGGCGGCGGCGGCTCGAAAGTCATTTTTTTCCTACCGCCGACGGCGGCGGCGGCTTAAAGTCCTTCGTCGTTCGGCGGCGGCGGCTGGAGGTTTAGAAAAACTACTATAGCAGTCTATGGGAAAGTTTTTGGGCAACATATTTGCTCATTTTTGACTCTTCTAAAAGTATTTTAGTCGATTGAACAACTAGTGCTAAGGACCAGAATTTTGTGCTCTTTCCAAATATGGGCTGAATTGGTGTACCTATTCTCGCTCGAGAGCAGTGAGGAGACCTTTCAAAGGTCTAAAAAAAACCGTTTGGACGGAAAATTTCTTCGCACATCTTCATATGCTTGCTACTGATATTCAAAACTAACATGCTGAATCTTTTGTTCACATGTCAGCTTGAACAAAGTTTGTTCTACAAAATATGACATTTGAGTTAATTTTTTTCTGACAAAATACTTACATTGTTGTTCAGTTGGATTTTCGAAAAATCAATTTTTTCATCAGAATTCGATTCTGACGGATGTAGTTCTTGCAAAAACAGTCATATTTTTATATGCGTAAAGGGTACATTTTAGTTCGCCATAACATTTTATAAAGAATTATTCGTCCTACAACATTTGCAAGTTGAACCATTTTTAGCGCTTTTCTCAAGAAACATACGAAGGTCACAAAAGCTTTTTTATTTGCCACTGACATTACTTTTTCAGAACATTCAAAGACCTCCTCACTACTCTATGACAAGAACAGATACACGATCCCTCAGACTATATTCGGATAGGGCACGGAATTCTAGTCCTAATCTAAAGTATTTCATTCACCTAGAACACTTAAGCCAATAAAATATGAACAAAATATTGTCGAGAAACTTTTGAATAATTGATGTGTTCAAACTGTGTTTTTAGACCTTTCAGAGATATCCTTACTTATTCTGGAGCAACAATAGGTACACAATTTATGAGCCTATATCTGGAAAGACTACATCATTCTCGTTATAATCACTCTTTTTTCACTCGACTAGAATACTCTTATAAGAGAAAAAAATGAACAAATATTTTGTCCAAAAACGTTTTCGTAGACCGTTAAATGATTTTTCACATTTTCTGTACCACTTATATTGCTATAAATACCAATAAGATTTTTAATTGAAAAAAGTAATATCAGCTTGATCGTTTTTCAATTTGTGAAACCAAATTTTGCAATAAACATGTTAATTATCGGCTAACTAATTCGGTTTTTTTGTGCAAATAACCGAAATGATTCCAGACGAACGATGGTTTTGTTAGATTAGGTAGGTTCATCTCGATAAAAAAGTTTTTGTTTACACAATATATATTTGTCATTTCAACTGCAAGATGAACCTAAAAATGAACAAAACAAACAGAATTATTTATTTATCAATAAACAGCACCCACAAATTTCTGAAAACTGAAAAAGCAACACCAAAAATAATGATAAATAAAAATTACCAAAATCATCAATACATAGTAAAACCATCAAACTTTGAGTAGGAAATATAACTTGAACTGCTACTGAATAAAACGGAATCACTAGGATTATTAATAAGTGAAAAAAATAATACAACCACTGAGAATACAAATAAATGAAAAATAAATATAACCACCAGGATAAATAGTAGATGAAAAACCGTCACCGAGTTTGTTAATAAGTAGAACGACGTAGCACACACAAGTCTGTTGCTTGATTTTGTTTCTGTTAATCGAAACTTATAATACTGGTTTTTACTTATATATAATGTTATAGACATTAACAAGTGAAATGATTACTTGAAACTTTTAACCCATACAAAATTAAGGAAAAAATGATTAATAGTTGTCGATGTTTATGAACGGTGTCGGCGGCGGCGGCTCAAAAATTTGAAAATTCTGAATGCCCTCGGCGGCGCGGCGGCTGGAACTAAAGTGTCTCAGCGGCGGCGGCTTATAAATTTTTAAAATTTCGACTGTCACAGCGGCGGCGGCTTAAAATTTTTCCCGTTAATCGGCGGCGGCGGCGGCGGCTCAGCCGCACGGCTTACACCTCTATATGTATCAAAGCTGAATAGCTTAATCAAATATCAATAGGAATTTAAATCCTTTTAGGATTTTGATTAGAGCAGTATGTAGTATGTGTAAACAATAAAAGCCAATGAAATTAGAAGGGGGTCACGGAAAAAGCATCCCCGTGAGAAGTTTTTTGCAGAGCACTGAATAATGACTCAATTATAGCTCCTCTGGATACGTCACTTTTTCGAGATATTAAGTCAAATCACATTTTTCACTAGCATTGTTAACATTAGACAGAAATTTCTTTTTTTGACATTTGTTTTTCTCAACATTGTCAATAGCATTATATATACTTTCCACCTTCTAAGAGTCAATATATTTTTCAGGGATACTAATAAATTTTTTCAAGACTCCGATGAATTTGAAAAAAAATTGCAGGCATTGGTGTATAGACACTTAGCTGTAGTTGAGTGTTCAATTTTTACTCCAATATTTATGGTATTGCCTGTTCATACCAAGAAGAACCATTTTGTAGACTATTTCAAAATCATTATGCACCTTATCAGTAAAGTTAATACAGATTTTATTTTTAACAAAAGAAGGTATGAAATTGTAAAATATCCTCGGTGGTAGAACTTGATGTGCTCTATCAATGATAGAAATATCAAAACACTTGACCGATACTTTGATATAAAAACAGCAAAAAAGAGCCACCACACACTGATTTAACGATATTTCACAATTGCCGATACGATTGACTAAAACTCCTAAAATTTTGTATGCACAAGGGCAATACCTTAACAATTATGATAGAAACACGAGAATCACTATTAAAAATTCTCTTACGATTTTAATTTTGTATACAGCAAAAAAGTAATCAACTCGAGGGTGTGGGTGTGTGGGAGGGATATGGGTGGGTGTGGATGTGGATGTCTATTCAACTGTTCTTTTAACTCACATCCACACCCATAGTCCAAGGGAAAGTGCTTTTTCACAATTTGTATTCATAGGGCGCAAAGAAAGGAGGGTGTATGGTGTGGGTGTGGGTGTGGGTGTGGGTGGGGTGTGTGGGTGGGTGTGTGGGTGTGGGTGTGCATGTAGAAAAGCTTCACACCTATACCCCACCCACACCCACACCCACCCCACCCTTATCTCATAGGATAACTTGAATTCGGCACTAAACAAATATCGCAATCAAAATACAGGAGCACACTAAGATAAAATGTGTCGCATGTGTCGCACTTTGCGACACAA